AATAAATAAAAAAAAAGATGCTCATTAAAAATAAAAACCCGTTACGATCCGACTCACAGCGATCTTACAGGTCAGAGCAGAACTGTCCCACAGGGTTTCCAAGGCTGCAGTTTTTACGGAAGCAGATCTTTCTCTGGACGGTTCAAACTGATGACCTTCGGGGTGAACAGCCAAGCACTCGACCCACGGAGCCACCAGGGATCCTTGAATGTGCCTTTGTTATCAGGAAAGGTGGGTTAAAATCACAACAAGATAATCACCACACACTAATTCAGTGGCGAAATGAAAAGTCTGGTGATACCACACGTTGAGATACGACAAACCGTGGGGAAGTGGGGGGACACACGGTGTTAAGGGCCCCTGGAGACAGTTATTAAGGGATGCTGATGCTAAGGGCATCTGTGATTCAGCAATTCCACCCCTAGGTACACGTCCGCCTGCTCCCCAGGAAATATCAACCAGAGGCCTCTCAGCAGCCTCGCTTACAGCCATCAAATCTAAAACAAACCCACATGCTCCTGAATCAGCAGACTGGAGCGAAACAATGACTCAGACGCTCCCACAGCGGACTGATGGACCAAAACCCAGCCCACGGCCACCGAGTCAATTCTGTCTCACAGCAACCCTGGAGGACAGAGAACAGCCCCTCAGCTCACCAAGGCTGTCGTCTTTACAGAGGCAGACTGTCACATCTTTCGCCCTCGGAGTGGTGGGTGGGCTTGAAATACAGACCTTGTGGTTAGCAGTCCAATACTTAACCCATTGCACCACCAGATATGAAGGAGTCCTGGTGTGGCGCTGTGGGTTAATATGCTGGACTGCAAAGTCAGTTTAAATCGCAAGGTCGGCAGTTCAAGCTCATGCGTCGCTCCTCGGAAACCCTATGCAGGGTTGATATGGGTTGGAACCGATTCAACGGCACTTAACAATAACAGCAACAACAAAGATGAGAGCCGGACAGATCTAGGGACATTAACGTTGCCGCCATAATGATTTCATCTACACGTAAGGGTCAAGTTAACTATGATTAAGGGGAGCACGTTGTGGCTGCTTCCAGGTACCCTCCGCTGCCCATCAATCCAGACTCACGGTGACCCCACATTTGACAGAACCCAACAGGGTTTTCTTATGGGAGCAAATCACCAGGTTGGATGTTGGGTAGGTTTGAACTGCCCACCTTTAGGAATCCTGGTAGCGTAGTGGATTACAAACTGGGCTGCTAACTGCAAGGTCAGTAGTTCAAATCTACCAGTCACTCAGTGGGAGAAAGATAAGGCTTTCTGCTCCCATCAAGATTTACAGCCTCAGAAACTCTATACAGGGTCTCTGAGAGTTGGAATAGTCACCACCACCACCACCACCTTTAGGTTAGCAGCCAAGTGCTTAACCGCTGTGCCACTGGGAACCCTTAAGGGGTACATAAAACCCACAGCCACTGAGTCCATCCCAACCCACAGCGATTGTACAGGACAGTTAGAACTGCCCACAGGGTTTCGAAGGCTGTACGTTTTTACTGAAGCAGACTACTGCTAGCTACATCACTCTCCCTCAGAGCAGCTGGTGGGTTTGACGTGCCAAACTTGAGATTTCCTGCACAATGCTTAACTCGCCATGCCACCAGGGCCCTTTAGGAATACATTTGCTGAAATGTTCCTTTAAATTGGTTCCAACTCATAGCTCCCCTTGTATGGGGTTTCCAAGGAACAGTTGGTGGATTGAACCGCTGAGCTTGTGGTTAGAAGTGCAGTGTGATCCTACAACGCCACCCCAGAATTTCTAGGGATATATGTTGTTGTTGTTGTTAAGTGTCATCGAGTTGGATCCGACCCTTAGTGACCCTCTTCAGGGTTTCTGAGGAGCGACTGGTGAGCTTGAACCGCCGACCTTGCAGTTCCAAAGGCTTTGCAGTCTGACGCATTAACCCACAGTGCCATCCCAGGGATATTGTTGTTATGTGTCATGGAGTCGGTTCCGACTCATAGTGACCCCGTACAGGGTTTCCGAGGCTGTAAATCTTTATGGGAACAGAAAGCCTCATCTTTTCTCCCGTGGAACAGCTGGTAGTTTCGAACTGCTGACCTTGCGGTTCACAGGCTGATTCGTAACCACTACGCTACCAGAGCTTCTTAGGGATACATAGGTAGTGGTAAAGCCATAAAGATATGCCAATCATCACCATAAAAGTTGGGGCCACGGTAACTAGCGCTGACCCCCATCTGTCATGGTCTCCCAGCCTCTCAACAGATTCTGCTTGGATTTTTCTCTGTTTACCAGGTCTAGCCGCTATCTGCAGCTCCAATCGGCTGCCTGCCTTTATCTCGATGGGGCCAGCCCTGGTTCCCAGCAGCAGGCTCCCCGAGGTTCGCTTCCTGCCAACACCAAGCTTACAGGAACCCAACTGAGCTCAGCACGAGGGCGTACGCATGCCCTGTGCACACACCCAGCAACTGCATCTACAGGGGTACCACACGGCAGACCACCCAGGCACTTCCCACTCTGAACGCTGGGGAGAAGGCAGCAGATACCTGTCTCAGGGAGGAAGCTACCTGGAGGACCCCAGACCCCAAGACCGGCCACTTCCTTCACGGGCCCCAGGTCATTCTGCACTACTCCCTGCTTCATGTGACACCATCTGGGGTCCCGGGGATCTCAGGGATGGGGAGATGGACTATGTGTCCTTCCCTTCCTTTGTCCTGAGGCTGGTGTATACCAGGTGTGACTGAGGGTCAGACACCTGCTTGGCATAAAGGATAAGTTAAAGGACAGGAATGGCAAGGGCCTGGGGCATCAGGAGGAGGAGAAGTCAGAGGAGTGTCCCCCAGCATGACCCATCCTTCCTGTTCCTTCCACACTTTGACCATGGCTGGGGCAGGTTGGCTGGCCACAGAGCCGGCGGGGACTGGGTGCCAGGGGATTAGCCGCTACCAGCAGAAGAAACTTGTCCTGTCTCAACTTCCCCCAGGATGGTGTGAGCCCACTTTGAACAGGGGCAGGCTGGTTTGTTTGGTGACTGACTTCGGGTTACCTTAATCTCCCTGCCCACCTCAGTCCCCAAGGCCGCTGTGAGGGTGAACAGAGAGGTTGTGGACTGCAGGACTTTGGAAAATTGTGAAGTGCCTGTGAACAGCGTCTGGGACATGGGTCTGCCTTGACGGGGAGGTGCCAGGGGACAAATCTTAGGGACCCATCAGCTGCTCCCATTCCAGCTGGCCTCCTCCCTTCCAGAGGCTCCGTCCCCACCCCCTACTTCCCGGCAGCAGGGCTGGAGTCAGGAGAGATAAGGTCTGGTATTCCAGGGCCAAGCACTTGGTGGAGATGAGGAGCCAGGTCAGAGGACTCCAGAGGGGGTGGGAGCTGGAGAGGGGGCATGCTGAGCCTTTCCTTCAGATGAGGCCCCTGGGACCTTGGACACTGAGGGTCAGATCCGGGCTCAGAACACAGGACAAGTCAAAGGACAGGAGTGGCAGCACGTCCTGGGGCATTGGTCTGGGAAGAAGATGAGCCCACACAGTCCTTCCTCTCAGAATGGTCTTGACAAGGGGGAGGGGGAAAATGGGAACAGCCCAGAGGCCCCCAACCCAGGATGTGCTGTGGGCTACATCTTATCTCCGCAGTCAGGCTGGCTTCCCGTCTGGGCTGCAGACCCAGTTGCCCCCTACCCAGGACCCCTCAGCCCTGTAGAGCCCAGCCTAGTCTATGCCTCCTCCAGGAAGCCCACTGGATTTGGAGACTAGGTCTGTCACAGCCTCCCCACCTCTCACATCTCCACATTGTCTGTGTGAAGGTTGGGGGTGCTGCTCCCATGCCCCCAGGACCTGAGTTCTGAGCACAGGGCTGTCTTCTCATGCTTGCCCCTGGTCCCCCAACCCCTCCTGGAGCTCAGTATGGGGAGGGGGCGGGAGAGGGGACAACACCAGAGCTTTCAGCACTAACTTCTCCATCTGGACTTCCCACTGAGTAGGGCTGGACATTGAGAAGGAGGTCTCACCCCCCACCCTCCACACACAGGAGGGCAAGTCCAGGCTACTTCAAGAGTCCGGCACTGGCCATGTCCAATACTAATAACATCAACATAATAGATACGGGTGTAAGCACTCGTAGTGGCACTTATCACTCGCCAGGCACTGGTGTCTACACTTCACCATCTCTGCACCGAGGCAGTCTGCCCTTCCAGGAGGCGGGTGGGGAGGGGTGTCTCTAATTTACCTCCTATTACTTCCCATGGAGTCCTGGTGTGGGGCTGTGAGTTAATGCGCTGGACAGCAAAGTAGGTTTGAACCACAAGGTCGGCAGTTCAAACTCACCAGTCGCTCCTCGGAAGCCCTATACAGGGTTGTTATGGGTCGGAACCGGCTGGACACTTCACAACATTACTCCCCATGAAGGGTCCTGGACCGAGTTGCAGTCATCGGGGTCACCCTGCCCGGGCGCCCACACGATGCCAGCACACAGCAGTGCTCAACAATCCTATATCGATTTGCTTGGTGTGAAAAGGGGACGATGGGGGCTATTTATAGGGGCCGAAGGTCGCTGTGGTTCAGAGCCGGACCCTGGGGGTAGGACCCTGCGTTCAAAATTCATTCTCCAGCTCTTCCCATCCCAGTGACTTGAAGCAGGTTCCTAAGTCTCTGTTCGCCTCGGTTTTCCCATCTGTAAAAAACACACACACACACACACACACACACACACACACACACGCTCCGGTCTCAATTTCCCTTTCTGTACCTTCTCGCTCCAACATCCCGAATTCATGCAGTCTGCGCCGTGACAAAGTCAAGACTACAAGTCCCAGCATGCCGCGGGGTCCTCCCGCCCGTAATGAAGCCTGGATTAAAATTTCCAGCCTGCCGCGGGCCATCCCGCCCACGATGAAGTCTGGACTACAACTCCCAGCATGCGTAGGCGCTCCCGCCCGACCAAAGTCTGCGGTCAGCTAGTTCTGGGAAGTCGGATCGTTCCCGCAGCCCGCGCCGGGGTGAGAGACCTGAAACCGTCCCGCCATGTTCCGCGGACTAGCCCGGGCTGCGGCCCAGAGGCACAGGGTCCCCTGGGCACGGGGATCTGGGGGCCGGGCAGGCATCCCGGCCCACGTGGTGGACCTACGCAGCGACACGGTGACCAGGCCCGGGCCGGCCATGAGGCGCGCCATGGCCGAGGCGGACGTGGGGGACGACGACTACGGCGAGGACCCCACCGTCCGCGGTGAGCCCACGTGCAGGCTGGGACGGGGGTCGCTGAGACGACCCCAGAGCACCGCCCAGGTGGCTGCCTGCGGTTGGGCAAGCACTTTGATGTTTGGGATCCTATTAGAAATGCAGATTAGCAGGCCCCGTGTGCACGGCAGGACAGGTTAACCAACCCCTGTTACCATCCCATTTTACAGAGGAGGCCCTGAGGTGCTGCCCACACTCAGTAAATGGCCAAACCAGGATTCGAACCCATACTCAACCTCCTGCCCCACAGTCTTCCTACAAGACCAATACAAACTCCATCTCAAAAAGGGGTTTGTCTAGAGACACACTGCCCAAGGAGGGGGTTCTTTTACACCCCCAGGGACAAACCACAGGGTGTCTACCTGAGTCCTACACTGCTGGGCTGACACAACCATTACCTGGAACTTCAGGTGCTGAACCACAGCAGCTTGATCCTCTGCCATCTAGGTGGGGAGACACTGGTGTTGACAAGAGCAGAGGGTGCCTGGGGAAAGGGACTTGAGTCACAGTGAGGGGGGGTTCACGGAGGAACCCTCTTAGAGGATGAAGTTCTCCCCACCCCCCCTAGCAGGGAAGGGAACCAGGCACACAGAGCAGAGAGAATTGCAGAGACAGCATTGTGGTTGGAAAGGTGTTCAGCATCTGGGTGGGCCATAGTGGTGAGGGCAGGGGAGGCAGTGGCCTGGTCACTGAGCTTGTGCACCACCTTAGGGACTTCTAAGGACTCGATGTTCCCAGCCCACCACTGCTTCCCTTCCTCAGGGTACCCCCCTTCCACCACCCCCCTTTTCAAGTCTCCACTCCTGTTCTGCCTTCACTGTGGGAGAGGAAGTCAGTAGAAAAACCGCAGAGCCCCACCTGCCAGTGGCTAGCTGATGGGAAAGGAAGCAGACAGGTGTGAGACAGGCGGGGATAGGATCAGACCACAGAGTTTCAATGGGGGACCAGAGGGCTGACTGAGGGGCTCTGGCATGGGATATGGGTGACCAAGACCTAGCCCCGGTGGGCAAGGGAATCATACCCCCAAGACTCTGGAAAGCCAGGGTAATCCCGTGCCTGACAGGCATTGTTGACAGAACCACCCCGCCCTCCTCCCCCAGAGCTGCAGGAAAAGGCTGCGGAGCTGCTCGGGGTGGGACAGACCCTGTTTGTGCCTACCAACACCATGGCCAACCTCATCTCAGGTGAGCACCTTGACCATCACCTCCCTTTGCCTCCAGGCCCCTCCCAAACTCCTGTCCTCGGAGCTCTGGGTCCCAGCCTACTGGAATTCTATTGGGTGGCTGTGGAGAGCCTGAGCAGTAGAGGGGGAACGGATCTGCGTTCTTCCCCAACTCCATCAACTCTATCCACACTGCCTGGTCTCCAGATTCCTAGGACCACACTCTTTCTCAGCCCCCTCCCCTCTCATCTTGGGCAGGGATCCTCACTGCCCTAAGAGAGTTCCCCACACCTTGCCCCTAGGGTGAAAATTGTCCCTTGATTAAATTCCCAGTTTTTTGGAACCCCCTTCTCCTGCAGGGCCTAAAGAGGCAGGTGTCTTGGACGCTTGCACCCAGTTGAGGGGCAGCATGTCTGCAGGCAGTGCTTGGAGGACAAGGCCACCGAACACAAGCATGCAGACTGTGTACAGGGACCTTGGAGATTGGCATCTCCTAGCTTCCAGTTTTCATCTAGTTAACTTTGACTCCTGAAAATCCCCCATGTGTGCAGTTGAATTGGGCTCCATGGGTTTTTAATGGCTGGGTTTTCAGAAATTGATGCCAGGCTCTTCTTGTGAGGCACCTCCAGGTGTCTTTGAATCTCCGACCTCTTGGTCAACAGCTCCTTTCTGGAGCGTTGCACTAAGTTGTCTTGAAGGAGTGAGGTTTTCCTAAGTGCCTTCAGGCTCTGGGAGGAGCTGTGACCCTGGGGCTTAGCCTGGCGGAGGCTGAGCAAGCGGGAGCTGGTAGATGGAATGCCAAGATCTGCCTCCTCCCTCTGTCTCAGTAATGGGTCACTGCCGTCGCCACGGCTCCCAGCTCCTCCTTGGGCAGGAGTGCCATCTCCATGTGTATGAGCAGGGCGGGACGGCCCAGGTAAGAGCCAAGTACCCTACCCTGGGCCTTCACGGGTTGCAGAAAGGCAGGGAGAGCCCCCGAGAAACAGGCTGGTGGTCTCAACCTGGCAGGTGGAAGGAGGTGCGAGGAAAGTTGACCACTCGGGGGCAGCAGCGGCTCAGGCTGGGCCTGGGAACCCGGGGAGAGCGGTGACTGGAGCTTGGTGCCCTACTGCCCCCTAGTGGTATGCAGGATGGGAGCTGGACTTCAACGTGTAGGAGAGTAAGTGGGAGAGTTAACGCCCAGATACTGACACAGAACGAGCAAAGGTTCTGAGGGCCAGGGCTGGACTCAAAGATTTACCTTTGGGGGACCGATTCCTTACTCCAGAGAAGCCCTCACCCTGGGATGGGGTGCTGCTGGACCTGCCCTGCGGCCCTACCCTTTACCCCCTCCTATCTATAGGTGGCAGGAGTACACTCCCACCCCCTCCCAGACCTGCCCCACGGCACCCTGGACCTGGCAGAGCTAGAGAAGGTGCTCAGACGGAGCCAGGGGAGCTCCTACCACCCTGTCTGTGAGCTCATTTGCTTGGAGAACACGCACAGCAGCTCTGGGGGCCGGGTCCTCCCCCTCGACTACCTAGGCCAGGTAGGAGCGGCTCCCTACTGGGCGCCCGGGGTCTGCCTGCTCCTGGCTTCCTGTCTCCCTGGGTCCCCATCCTGGGATCTCACACACGAGCCCCTGTTGGAGATCACTGCTGTGTGCGAGGGATGCCAGCGAGTTCCTAGGCTGCGGATGCTCCCATTTTAGTTCCCTGTGTGGGGCAAACGGTCTTCACTTATAAAGATGGGAGCCAAGTAAACCCTACGGAGCACTTCCACTACGGAGCTCTGGTAGCGTAGTGGTTACAAATCGGGCTGTGAACGGCAAGGTCAGCAGTTCGAAACTACCAGCGGTTCCGCGGGGAGAAAGAAGAGGCGTTCTGCTCCCGTAAAGATTTACAGCCTCGGAAACCCTGTGCTGGGTCGCTGTGAGTCGGAACCAACTCCACGGCACTTAACAATTGGGAATCGCAGGTCCACCGCGAACGCTACCAGCTAGGCCCTGGACTCTTACCTAAGAGCAGAGACTCCACTCCCACCCCCAGGCACCCCCAGGCAGCTGAATCCCAGAGCAGCATCAGGCATTGCCCAGCTCCCCAAACGTGCTACTAAGGCGGTTCGGAACAAGCCCAAGTTGAGGCATAAGTTTCCAGCTGCTCCCTCGCTCCCCAGGGGGAGGGGGAGGGCTGCGGTGTCAGCTCTGCTGCTCACCGCCCGAGGCAAGTACCCTCACCTTCCGTGAAGACATTCCTGCGCCTGCGTGAAGCATGAGCTGGCCACTACGCTGATCCCCTGACTCCCCACCCCCCTCCTTTCCCTCCACTGTGACGTCCCCTGACCAGGTGCGGCTCCTAGCCCGGAACTACGGAGTCCGCGTCCACCTGGACGGAGCCCGGTTAATGAACGCGGCAGTGGCCCTAGGCGTGCCCCCCTCTAGCATCGTGCAGTATTGTGACTCTGTTTCCCTCTGTTTCTCCAAGGTGAGGAGGTTGCTGGGCCCTCTTTAACTCCTCCCCTCAGGTGGGGCCCGCACCGGCTGCCCCTCCCACCCATCACCTGGTTGCTCTCACTCACCCCCAAGGATAGGATGCAGACACGCAGGCCTCTCCTTTCTTCCTCCCAGGGTCTGGGGGCACCAGTGGGTGCCCTAGTTGGAGGCCCCAAGGACTTCATAGAAGAAGCCTGGCGTCTTCGGAAAGCTCTGGGCGGAGGCATGCGCCAGGCGGGGGTGCTGGCTGCTGCCGCTCTGGTGGGTCTGACGGACGCAGAGGAAAGGCTGGGCCAGGACCACCGCAATGCTCAGAGATTTGCCAAAGGTACCTAGACCAGGGCCCCAACACCCTTAGCTGCCTCTGATCTGGGCCTGGGGAGGGACCTCGCCACAGCTCAGCACACTTCAACTTCTAGAGCGGGGGAATCTGCCAGGGCTGGGGAGCAGTGAACCCGGACGCTGTATGGAGCAAAAATAAATAAGCTCAGAAGATGCTGATAGGGTACTGTGTGCAGAACAGGCCAAATGTGGCCTCCACTGAGTCCGCCTAACAATCTCGGAAGCCCCCACTTCACAGAGCGGGAAACCGAGACCCAGAGAGGTCAAGATACCAGTCCAAAGTCACACAGTTCAGACACAGCAGAGCCAAGACTACAAAGGCCTCCGACGGCCCCTCTGCCTTCCCAGGGGGCACACATTTGGTGGGTAGGGGAAGCCGAGGAGCCGTCTGGCCGGGCCCGCTCACTGCAAGACTTGTGCCCAGGACTCCGGGAGCTGGCCTCTCCTTTCTGCTCAGTGGATCCCAGCACAGTGGAAACCAACATGGTAATGGTGCGGGTGGCCGGGCTGCGGCCGGAGGAGCTGTGTCGGCGATTGCAGGCCGTGAGCGCAGAAGAGGAGGCGCAGCTGGGCCGGGGAGTGCGCGTGTTGTTGTTTCCCTGGACCGAGTACTCCGTGCGCGCAGTGTGGCACCGTGATGTCTCCGCGCAGGACACTGAGTTAGCGTTGAGGAAGTGGGAGTTGGTGCTGAAACAACTGGGCCGCCCCTGAGGACCCGCTGACCAGGAATGTGTGCCCTAACTAGGAGGGGAGGGGAGAGCTAGAATGATTGCCCATGGCTGCTGTAACAAACGCCACATACTTGGAGGGAAGGAGGCTTAAACAACAGAAATTAAGGAGTTTCTGAGAGCCAGAAACAGTTAAGCACATGACTCCTAGCCAAAAGGTTGGCAGAACCCACCCAGAAGTACCTAGGAAGAAAGGTCTGGCAATGTGCTTGAAATGCCTATGGAGTTTGCACACATGGAGTTACCATGGGTTAGAATTGGCTCAGTGGCAACCACAATCCCCACCCCCCCCAGTGTATAAATGAAAACCGAAAGTATTGAATGTTGTTGTTGTTGTTAAGTGCCATCGAGTCGGTTCCGACCCATAGCGACCCAGTACAGGGTTTCCGAGGGTGTAAATCTTTACGGGAGTAGAAAGCCTCATCTTTCTCCCGCGGAGCAGCTGGTAGTTTCGAACCGCTGACCTTAAGGTTCGCAGCCCAATTCGTAACCACTACGCTACCAGAGCTCCTGAAAGTATTGAATATACAGAAAAAAAATGTGTTCTCAGATCTGGAGGCTGGCAGTTGGATCCTTTGAGAGGGAGAACCTGTTCTCCGCCTTCCTCCTAGTTTCCGGTCAAGGTTGGCAAACCTTGGCGTTCCAACTTGGCTTAAAGCTGCACCACTCCTATCTCCACCTCCCTTGTCCCATTGCCTTCCCTGTATATCTGTGTGTCTTGTCTCTTTCATAAGGATACCTTGCATATTGGATTAGGACCCACCCTACTCCATCTAGTATAACTCCAAGTTAACTTAATTGATAACATCTGCAAAGCCTTTGAGTGCTGGTGTGGCACTGAACTGCAAACCACAAGATCATAAGTTCAAACCCACCAGCCACTCCTAGGAAACCCTATGCAGGGTTGCTATAGTCAGAACTGATTCAATGGCACTTAACAACAACAAAGCTGAGACCTTATTTACATATTCACAGGTGCCAGGGGTTAGGGTTTCAACCCACAAGGGGGCTTCAAAAAGTTTGTGAGAAAATGGAATGAAAAGATAACGTAATTTTTTCATGAACTATTTGAAGCTCCTTCATATCTTTTTGGAGGACACAACTCAAACCATATCAACTCCCAAGGATACCATCGAGGCCCTCCTCACCACTGACCAGGAGGCCTCCCATTCCCATGGTAAAGAGGAGGAAGCTGCCCTAAACTGTCCACTCAGGGCCAAGTACGAACCAAAGCATCCCAGGAGGCAGGTAGAGGACGTTCAGAACATCAGGGATTGATTGTGAAGGGCTTTAACTGCCAAGATATGGAGTCTGGACTTTATCTTGTAATCATCTAATACGTATTTCCCTTTTATACAAATAAATGTTTTCTGCTCATAAAGCAATATGCATTTATGATAGATCACTTGGGGCTAGACCTCATTTTCCTCATCTCTTGAAATTTAAGCAGACTCAATGACTAAGGCCACTTCTCCTTCGATAACAAGAAAAGCTGGACGAAATGCATATTTGTACAGTTCTGTTTGGAGGCCCTGCCAAGACTGCGAGCCTGGAGTGGGTTGGGAGGCCAAGTAAGATCTGGGTGAAGAGAAACCTAGAGTTGGGCTTGGCATTGGGGCCACTTTTGCTCTGGGTATTTGCTGGGTTCTGAAAGCAGCTGCTGAGTGGCTGAACAGCTGGGCAAAGCTTTTGGCAGACATGCAGAGCTGAGGGAGCAGAAACTAAAGTTCAAGGCTTCCCAAAAGGCCCCAGTAAACCTACTTGCCAGGCTTTGGGTTGGGGCCCTGAAGGGGCTACCCACTAGGAGTATGAGGCATGGAAACATCACCTCTCACCATAACTCCTGATTCAGGTGATCTGGAATGGCTAGTGCCTCTGGTGCATCACAGGAACAAGATGTGGCTGAAATCAACAGAGAAAACAGACCTCCTCCCCCAGAAGATCAAGACACAGGAGTTATTAAACATACTTTGAATTAGCCAAAGGATTACAAGACAAGCTCAAGCAATTTGGCAGAGAGATTGACCACATGGACCTTCTAGGATTGAAAAATAAATGGAACTAACTCAGTGGATAGGTTTAACAGCAGATGAAAACCGCTGAAGAGAAAATTAGTGGAAAGGAAGATAAGTCAGAAAATAGTTGTTGAGTTCTATTGAGTCGGTTCTGACCTATAGCGACCCTGTATACTATAGGGCTTCCGAGGAGCAGTTGGTGAGTTTGAACTAACTTTGCAGTTCAAACCAACCTTGCGATCCAGCGCACTATCTGCACCTCCTCAATTACTATCTTGTCATCTGAAATTTTGCATTTACAGCAGTAAAATATCCACTGCCCAGCGATTTCACACCTCAATGATTTCTCTGGCTGGAGAAAGCTGGTGTTAGGTGCGTGTCATTGGCTGGACCGTGACTCTCAGTGATTGGATAGTTAGGTAGTGATGTAATTTGGACATTGTGTAATGATGTGGTCATCCTTCATTTTCATATAAAACCAATTTTGCATAATGACCTAGTTTCCAGAACCTAACAATATCAATAAATAAGGAGAGGGTGTATAAGCAAAGCCAAAAGGTGGTTCTTTGAAAATATTGATAAAATTGATAAGCCTCTCTCTGGTAAGATAGCTTAAGAGCAAGAGAGGAAACAGATCATTTTAGACAATATGAAAGTCACACAGTTCAAAAAAGTTCATGGAAAAGTGAAATGAAAAACAGATTTTTTTTTCTATAAACTTTTTGAAGCCACCTTACATAAAAAAAAATAGAGAAAAAATAAGAATTGCCTATATTTTTATCAGGCATAAGAATAACTACTATTTATAGTTTAAAAGATTTCACTCTGGATATATAGATAGATAACTACTGTTAGATAAGCACTGGACTGCTAACTGTAAGGCTGACAGTTCAAACCTACAGCCTCAGAAACCCTGTACAGGATCAACTGGACGGCACACAGCAGTAACAAATATAAATTTGTATCTGTTGTTGTTACATGCCATGGAGTCATTTCAACTCAATGTGACCCATACTAAAGGGGG